TAGTGTTAAGTATAAATGTGGTTGTATAATATTCATAAACATAAATGCATAAAAGCATACTCAAACATCAACATCATACCTGCTCAAACAGGTGTAGGTAGCTGTTTGCATCAAAAGTTAATATTTTCATTGTCATTAAACTTGTTACACTGTTTATCGATTACAAGTTCAAATTGAAAGAAAAGTCGATCTTTTTATAAGATCTTCTTATAATGAAAAAGTGAAAATTATAATTTTATCCAACAATACACAACAATAGTTTATCTCCTACTGCCTGCGTGGGATCTTTCGTCTGTGCTAGTGACGCGTTTGTCCGTAGACCATCGCAGATCAGATCCGAGTGATGAAATAATTATGCTCTTGTTTCACAAAGGAAATAATCGCAGTAGCGACAATCACGACTGTAAAACCCCGTATAATTAAATAAATGAGTTTTTATTCTAAAAAATATGTTTAGATCATAGATGAGTATGATAACAAGTATTTTGGGATCAAATAAGTATGATTATGTGAGAGAAATCAAGTGAAAAAGACCCGCACATGATAGGTTCATGCGCAGTAGATTTCTGCTGTGCGATCGACCGCACGTGGCGCGACGGTCGACCGCACATCGGCCAGACTGTTTTCTTTTATTCCGGTTTGTGTTGGGTTTTGGGTCGGGTTTGAGAGCTTATATATATATTAAATAATTCGGGAGAGCCTCCTCTTCATCATAGAAAACCCTAGCAGCCTCCCCTACCCTCTTGCAAACCCTAGCTTGTTCTTTGGGTGATTCTTGGAGGATTTCGAGGAGTTCGAGCGTGATCCAGCGGTTTAGCGAAGGAGAACCCCCTCACGACCTTATATATATATTAAATAATTCGGGAGAGCCTCCTCTTCATCATAGAAAACCCTAGCAGCCTCCCCTACCCTCTTGCAAACCCTAGCTTGTTCTTTGGGTGATTCTTGGAGGATTTCGAGGAGTTCGAGCGTGATCCAGCGGTTTAGCGAAGGAGAACCCCCTCACGACCTTACCCACAGTTGTTCATCACCCCTCAGGCGAGTTTCATCTCGCCAAACTCTGCATCCAGTTTTAAATGCTTTTAAATCTTGTTTTTCATGGGTTTTTGTTGAGCCTAACATGCTAGTTTGAGTATAAAAGTTGATATTTATATTGTATGTTGCAAAAGAACATGTTTTTAGATTAATAAAGATCACCCACGTTTTCCTAAGTGCAGATTTTGAACTGGTGTTTAGTATAACAAGAATTTTGAAAGAAAAATAATTGTTTTCGAAAGTTTCGTCATATATATGCATGTTTTAAATTGTTTTTTTTGTCTATAGTGATTAGACTATTTATACCATGTTCCAGATATGTTAAATCACATGCATAGGGTTGCTAGTATATATAAACATCACACGAAGATCGAGATCGATATCAGCTAGAACAAAATATGAAATAGGATTTTTCTACTTCGCGGTCGATCGCGGGTAGCACGACGGACGGTCGAATTTCAGCTTCTGTCTTGATCGCGGTCGACCGCACTGGACGCGGCGGTCGACCATCGATCGCGGTCGACCATGCATGGTGCGTCGGTCGACCGCTGGGGAGTACAAAAACACAGTGAGTTTCTGTTCTTGGTGCGGTCGATCGCGCTGGGCGTCGTGGTCGACCGCGAGGCAGTTTTCTGCCCTATTTTGTTTTGTACATACATCGTGTGGCTGGCTAGATTTCTAGATTATTTGGGATTGTTAAGCACAGACAATTGTGTTCATGAGTTGACTATAGACATGAGGCTTTGTTTATTTCACCGAGACATGAGAGTGAATAGTATATAGATGTTTTTTTATTTGAAATCTATTGTAGTCCATGTTTTGGACGCCTATCTATTACGGCCCACGTGTTGGACCTCGATCATATAGTCCATGTGTGGAACATTTGCTTATTTCAGTCCATATGTTGGACATGTAGCTTTGTGGCCCATGTGTTGGACCTACGTTATTTATAGTCCATGTGTTGGACCTACATTATTTATAGTCCATGTGTTGGACATGTAGCTTTGTGGCCCATGTATTGGACCTACATTATTTATAGTCCATGGGTTGGACCTACCTCATGTGTCGTCCATGTGTTGGGCTTTATCATATTTCAGTCCATGTGTTGGACATTGGTTACATGCAGTCCATGTGTTGGACATTCAGTGAATTTTGTCTTATCTAACATATGGTAGAGGAAGTTCAAGAGTTGAACAAGTATTCTAATATATGATAGGATACTTTTAAGATAGTTCAAAATGGAGATTTTGTTCCAAGTTATTGTTGGATTTGATAATTAGCTATTTATAATATGAGCTTATGGGATGGTTGAGACTTTCACGCACATGTTGTAAATTCCTAAATATCAAACTACCATTTTTATTTTAGATTTGATGTTCTGACTATCTATATGTATTATCGGTATTTTCTATCCAACTAGCCCTTCCCTTGGGGTTGGTTGAGATGTTACTCGCTATAGCGCTTTGACACTCGTTGTTGCTCCACTTTCAGGTAACGAGCCAGGTGCATGGAGAGCCGTAGCTTGATGGATTTGCTCTAGTTACTACTTATAGATATTTTATTAGCAGATTATGTTTAGGACTCCACGACGACTTGGTTTATGAACATTGAGATGTTATTTCTAGTTTTGTAAAGGCAAGGTGCCTTATTGTCATGTCCTTTGTTTTATGTCGAGACAGTTGTACTCAATTCAGATATTGGGCCCATGTGTTGGACCTACGTTATTTATAGTCCATGTGTTGGACCTACATTATTTATAGTCCATGTGTTGGACATGTAGCTTTGTGGCCCATGTATTGGACCTACATTATTTATAGTCCATGGGTTGGACCTACCTCATGTGTCGTCCATGTGTTGGGCTTTATCATATTTCAGTCCATGTGTTGGACATTGGTTACATGCAGTCCATGTGTTGGACATTCAGTGAATTTTGTCTTATCTAACATATGGTAGAGGAAGTTCAAGAGTTGAACAAGTATTCTAATATATGATAGGATACTTTTAAGATAGTTCAAAATGGAGATTTTGTTCCAAGTTATTGTTGGATTTGATAATTAGCTATTTATAATATGAGCTTATGGGATGGTTGAGACTTTCACGCACATGTTGTAAATTCCTAAATATCAAACTACCATTTTTATTTTAGATTTGATGTTCTGACTATCTATATGTATTATCGGTATTTTCTATCCAACTAGCCCTTCCCTTGGGGTTGGTTGAGATGTTACTCGCTATAGCGCTTTGACACTCGTTGTTGCTCCACTTTCAGGTAACGAGCCAGGTGCATGGAGAGCCGTAGCTTGATGGATTTGCTCTAGTTACTACTTATAGATATTTTATTTGCAGATTATGTTTAGGACTCCACGACGACTTGGTTTATGAACATTGAGATATTATTTCTAGTTTTGTAAAGGCAAGGTGCCTTATTGTAATGTCATTTGTTCTATGTTGAGACGGTTGTACTCAGTTCAGATATTATTCCTTTTTCTAAGATTCTTTTGATTTATATCAGTGGTGGTTATTTCTTTCAGAATATTTGTTTTTTAATATTTCTGTCGTACATTTTTTTTACCTGTTTGTATTTACACCCGTTATTGATTCCACTAGATAGATACTTATTTTGATGGTGAAACATGTTTTTGCACGGTGTAGTGCATGGTAAGTTTGACATTCTTGCTTTTACCTCGGATTGCAGCCTTGTTAAAACCAGGGGTGTTACAGTTCGTGCATGTTAACTCTATTAAACAAAAACATATATATATATATATAATATATATATATATATGTACTTAATCGATCTCAAATCGATTACAACCATACTCATTCATCCCAGAATAGTATCAAACATGATAAAAATTATTTAATATTTTTTTCACAATATATTCAAATTTATGGGGTTTTACATTCACCCCCCTACCCTTAGAAGAATTTCGTCCTCGAAATTCCGCAATCGTATCTTAGAGATTAATAATACGAGAAAAACACGTTCAGGGGATAATACAAACAAGGAAACCCTCTCATACATATCTCGTACCATTAATCTCCAGATATGAAACACAAGTAATATTTACACTTAACAATCTAGAATGCAAATACTTCCACTTAACCCCTAATTAAGTTTTATACTATAACTTGATACTTGTGCACTTGCAACTTAGGTTTTATTTACCACCGATCAAGTTTTTGGTTATTTGGACAGGCCCACCCAAAATGCTAACAATTAGATACACAGATTTAAAGATAGAGGGAGACCTCCATTCTGTGAAATTCATTTCAGGGTACATTATCAAATTTGCAAGGCGAGTTGTGGCTTTGGAGCCAAGATTGCAAAAATGTGTTTGTCAAATGGAAGTAGAGTTTATTGTCACGACAAAAACTTGCAAAGAATTGACAGCATATATTCGTGGTAAAACTTGTGTTTTAGCAGAAAACATATATTTTATTGTGCGACAGTTAAATAGAGTTCATCTTGGTTGGAGTCCAATACTATGTGATGTCTAAGCATATTGATATCAAATATCATTGGGTACAATATATTTTCAACAAGAAAGAACATGCAGAAGATCGATACAGATGACTGCAAATATGTTGATGACCATTCTACCTAGAAACAAGTTTGACTAGTCCTGAAGGAGGATATGGGATCCCTCCTACGTGGAGAAAAGTCTGACTTGTGGAGGATATGGAATCCCTCCTACGTGGAGAAATATCCTAGCTACTTGGTTGCTTCCTAAGTTATGTGTTTTTTGTGATTTTGATTTAAATAATTACCAAAGTTGTGGGGTGTGAAGAGATCTTACTTTGAATAGCTTCCTGAATTATATATTTCATGTGAGAAAACAGTCCGTTCCTGGAGGAGGAAAAAGATGAGATGTTAATAATTAAGGAGGTGAAATTTACTATGACTCTAAACAGAACTCATGGGAAAGGTTCACTTAATTAACCAAAATTAAAAGATTATTCATGATAGATACACAGCAACAATTACAACAGCATTAACGTCGAGTGAAGAGACAAATTAAAACTTGTTCGATGGTACGGGTAACAAGCTAGACCTAGTAGCACATGCACCTAGCGTAGCAGACGAGGTGTGAAGAGTTCAGAGACTACCAACAGCGTGTGTTATGTCTATAATTATTACATACATATTAACTAGTCCTTGTTTATGTACCAGTCTTTACCCCACAGCTAAGAATTTAGCAACAAGATCAAGTCTTTTCTCCTTGCGAGATGTAAGTCCAGGGGTCTCATTCATATCAAGATCCTCCCTTGACAGATTTTCTGGCATTGACCATTCAAACCTGTTCACAAGATTCGCGAGTGCAAGCTCTATGTTGTGCATTGCAAAGTTCATGCCCGGGCAAATTCTCCGACCTGCACCAAATGGAATGAACTGGAAATCGTTTCCTTTGAAATCTATCAAACTGTCCATGAATCTTTCAGGTCTGAATTCATCAGGTACTTCCCAACACTTGGGGTCTCTTGCAAGCGCCCAAGCGTTGATGACGATTCTTGTATTCTTGGGTATTTTATAACCTGATAATTCACTACTTTCTGTAAGTACTCGAGGGAGCAACAATGGAACAGGAGGATGCAGCCTCATAACCTCTTTTATCACTGATTTTAAATAGCTCATCTTGCTCAAATCTTCGTCTCTGATCATGTCTTTGCCTCTTGCTTTGCCTCTCACCTCATCTTGCAGTTTCTTCATGACTTTTGGATTGCGAACGAGTTCTGCCATACTCCATTCAAGTGTGATGTATGATGTATCAATTCCCGCAGTAAACATATCCTATAAAAATCTCACGTCAGGTTTTAAAGTTACCAATATTTTCTCCCAGAAAACATCTTTAAAACGGGGACACTATACAAATATCACCTTTGATTGTCAACTAAATATAAGCCTCTTTTCAAGGGGCTGGTGCAACCAACCATCTTGACCCACTTTCTGCTTAATTTTTCTTTGAAATCCCAATAACAAACTTAAAAAACTCAGTTGAAGTCACATGACTTATATCCTAACTACCAACGCCATGTGTCTTCAACATGCGTTTTTCAAGTAAAATTTACGATATCAGAGAAAGTTTTACTAGAAAGTAGATGATGGAGGTTGCTTGCACCACAAATGAATCCTCTTAAAGGTTATTAATTGACAATCAAAAGTGATTTCTATATAGTAACCTTATTTCAAAAAGGTAGTTTCCGGGAAAATTAGTAACATCATGAAATTTTAGGAATATGCGGATACCCGCTCCTAGCATCAAATTAAAATTCTAACCTTGAAGTTTTGGCGATAGCAGGTGGTTTATCCGCAATTAAACCGAAATATTATGATAAGAAATACGTTAAGAACTTACCATTAGTATTGCTTTGATGTTTCCTCTTGTAAATGTAAAATCAACACTAGGGTCATTCTCAAGTGAGAGCAATACTTCGACAAAATCTCTATTGTTGTTATGAGAAACGTCATCCTTCAACCGCTTAGCCTTATTGTTGATAACCACCTCAAGAATGTTATCCCATCTCTTAGCATTTCTCTTTGCCCTCCAATCCAGATTGAAGATATCAAGCCATCCAATCAGTGGGAAGAAGTCGGCAGGATGAAAAGCCCCAACGAGAGCAGAGTTCTCCTCAATAAGCATATGCAGATTGCTTTTCTTTTCTTGATCTCTAAAGAGGTCGTTGGAAACAACTCTAGTGACAATATTAGTAGCAAACATATTCAGTATGCTGCTCATATTCACATAACCATGTTTTTGGGATGTTTCATATATGTTGGCCATCATACAATCTACCTCTTCTTCTCGTGCGTGTTGAAAAAATTGGACCATCTTGGTACTCAAGAGATGAGTAACACATAGCTTTCTTGCTTTCCTCCAATACTCTCCATAGGGTGCAAATGCTATGTCATCGCTTCCATGAAGAAGAGTCGCTATGATCTTTGAAGGTGGTCTACTTGCAAATATGATATCTTTAGTTTTCATGATCTCACACGTGATTTCTGGTGAAGAGACGACGAGGGTGGGAACTTGACCAAGTTGTAGAAGCATGGTAGGCCCATGCTTGTTTGCTAGGGAACGGAGAGAACGATGAGGGAGCGAGCCGAGCTGGTGGAGGTTGCCTATCAAGGGAAGTTTTGGTGGACATGGAGGGAGATTGAGCTTGTTTGAATTTGTTCTCTTGATGCTCAGAAGCAGCAGTACAAGAGGAGATATTAAGAGTAGAAGACCAAGTATAAATGTTTCGGACATTTTGAAGAGATGAAAGTGTAGCGCTTCTCCTCTTTGTTGATGCTTTTGCTTCTATATATTTGATAAAGATGAAAATAGAGATATTTGTCGGTTAGTTAATTTGTGACTTGAACTAAGACTCTTCTACACAATTATTTCTTTATCTTTATTAGTGGAAATATGTTACAAGTTTCACATCAGTTTTTCTTTCACTTGGGATGAAACGTTTCTCCATGGCCACCTGAGATATTGCACAACACTGCATCCTCACTCATTGGAGGAGAGCCAAAGTTTATTTGACTATAAGCTTATGTCGTATCAAGAATTTGTGAACCTTATATTGTTTACGATATACATTTTCAAACATTAAGATTTTGTATGCTAAAGAGACCTAACATTTCCTCCTAGATATCACTATCAAGTTGAAATGGGATTTTGCGTAATGGCTCTGAATCTGGATCACAGATGATGTGTTTGTTTGTCTTGGTATCACGCACAGTCCTGAAACAAATTGACCACAAAATTTATGGCGATGTGTTAAGAGTATCTGATTTGCTTTCCCTGTTCCACACAAAAAAAGTAAGAGGAAACATTTTCCTTTCGTTGATAGACCGAAGAAGCAAGCTGATAATGCAGAGAAGAGCATACGCGCACTCTTCTTCTCATGAACGTGTTGTATTTAGACACAGCTGAAAATAAAGATATTGTTCGTTAATCAATATGCCGTGTTCAAATTTCGATTACGACTCTTCTTCTTTGTGCGTAGCTTATAAATTCTTCATACACCATTTGTTTAAGTTATCCTTGTTGGTGGAGGCCCGTTTTCAAGTAGAAAATCACTTGTCCTTTTTTACCGTGGAAATTAAGAAGTGTTAATCCAGGAACACTTGTTTATTATTGCATCCGCATTCAATGTAGGAACAGAAGTTTATTTGACTTTAAGCTTATATTGCTCATGATATGTTCAGAATCCTTAAGATTTGTTGGGGATTCGAAACAATCAATCGAACCCTTACCCTTCCGGACCTTGTGTTGAAAGTAGGAAAGTAGGAATAATACCACCAATAAAGATCTAACCTTGCAAAAAATAGTAAAGGAGACGAACACACTGATTTAACGAGGTTCGGCAACGTGCCTACGTCCTCGAGAGCCACACCACACAATTTCTTTATTAATTGAAGAAGAAATACAAGCTCTCAAACTAGGGTTTAATCTCTCTTAGATTTTCTCTCTTGCTGCGGTCAAAAACTCTCTTTTCTCGTGTTGTACAAACCCTAAAAACATTTAAGGTATATATAGAGTCCCGGTAGAAACAGAATCCAAAACAGTTTAGGAAACTGTCAAACTGCGTCGTGGTCGATCGTGACGGTCGACCGCGCAGGTATCGCGATCGAACGCACACCAGTCGCGATCGAACGTATCAAATGATAGAGACTTAAATCGATTACAGGGTTGGTGCGGTCGATCATCGCGGTCGACCGCCTTCGGATCCAGCTCCTCCTGAGCTCCTGTGCACGTTTGCGGTCGACCGCCAGATTCTCGCGGTCGACCGTGGATCTATCAGCTCGTTTTCTTCGTCGTTTTGATTCCAGCTTTCGTCTCGACTTTGGGTCTACACCTTAGACTAACAATCTCCCACTTGGAGACAAAGTGCTTGCAGTGAGTTCACCCGAACTCTTCACTTGTTCGCATGTATCTTCTCCCCAGAAAAATTCTTTCTTCAATCAACAATATCCCGACGATCGTGCCAATCTTCGTAGTGTGGCTCCGCCTTCGTCTTCTACTCGTGAAGGGCAACTGAAGTTGCACACAACTCAAGTTTCTCAATGGTGACTGCCTTTGTCAACATGTCCGTCGGATTTTGACTCCCCAAAATCTTTATCAAATGCAACTTTCCGTCTTCAACTAGCGAACGTATGAAATGGTATTTGCGTCGATGTGCTTCGTTCTGGCATGATATACTGGATTCTTGGCAAGATGTATAGCGCTATGGCTTTCACAATAAAGAACTCCTCTCCCTTGCTTTAGATCCAACTCTTCCAAGCACCCGTTCAACCAGATCATCTCCTTACTTGCTTTAGTTACCGCGACATACTCAGCCTCAGTTATGGACAAAATCACAATCTTCTGCAGACGTGAGACCCAGTTTATTGCTGTCGACGCTAAGGTATAAACATATTCCGTGGTGCTTCGCCTCGTATCATGATCACCGGCGAAGTCCGCATCCACGTATCCCTACAGCACCAACTCCTTCCTCTTGAAACATAATAGCTTGTTCGTTGTCCCTCTCAAGTACCGCATTATCCACTTCACGGCCTCCCAATGCTGCTTCCTTGGACTGCTTGCTGTTAGACCCTAGAGGGGGGGTGATTAGGGTCTTATGCTAATCTAATCCGATTAAATGTCAATTAAAAACTAATTAACAAGTTATCCTAGCAAGTATGAAATATCACAAGATATATGAGCTAGGATAAGCAATGTAAACAATGAGATATATCCTATATGATAAAATATATGCAAGTGCAAGGATATATAAACTAACACAAGGGGTAAACAATGTGAACTAGATAGTGGATCATATAAATGATGAGCTAATGACAATGGCGATAAGAAATATAAACACAAGTATAAATAAACGCCAAAGCACACTCAAACACAAGATATGATCACGGAGTTCGGACCTTCCGTCCTACGTCTCCGCTCCCCACTCCCGGGGAGAAATCCACTAACACAATCCGGTTTGGAAGCCGGAACTTCTTCTACACACTCGGTTTTCTAGCTAACCGAAAACTCTACAACTCACACTCTTGCAATCACACTCTACACCCACTAAGTGTTGGACCTAGCCGTGTCTCCCTCAAGTGCTCGGTTACAACCTCTCCCTAGGCACGTCAACCGACGCCACTCCTCTTGGGACGATCCCCGACTCTCACCACACAATAATTTGTTCTCTAATATGGATGAGAACACAATTAAAGCACAACTCAAAGTTACAATCTCTCACCACCCAACTATACTATGTATGTAAATACTAAAAGCTCAATGTGGGTGTGTGTAACAATGAGTAAAATCAAAATCAAACTAAACTCAAATATAAAATCTAGCTTAAGAAGATGATAATCAAGCAAGTATATTAAATGTAAAGCTAAGAGTTTGAGTTTATAAACTTTCTCAATTTGATAACAAGAGATGGACGGAGACTGATAGTTGGAAGCTCAACTTCAATAGATAATCTCCTCAAAGGCTCTTGTGGAATTTGATTCACGAAATCGAAAACTCAAATGCTTAAAAAGCTTATAAACATCACTTTTAAACAACTTAAACCCTTGATTAATCTTTCTTAAACTTGTTTTAAAACTCTCTTGTTCAATCTGAAAAGACCATCAGCAATGGGGTACTATATAACCACTAAAATCTCAGCAAAAAAACCCCAAAACAAAGACGCAAAAGACCCGCCAACGGTACAAAAACACTAGCCGGTTGGAAACAGTAAAAGCCATGTGTCGGTCGGCGGAAATTCTGTGCGGTCGACCGATGGAAAAGAGTTCGCGGACCGCACGAAAATTCGGTCGACCGTTATCTAAGGTCGAAACAAGAAAGCGAAGCATGACTTATCCGGTCGACAGGCGTCGCGGTGACCGATGGACCTTCGCTAGACCGGACCGTCGACGAGGGGCAGACTTTCTGTCGGCCCAGTGAGAAATGATCAACTGATCGGCTCGACCGGGTCGGTCGACCGAAAAGCTGGCAGCGGCAGCTGAACAAACTGTTTTGCTGATTTTAAAACCCTGTTTAAAAATATCAAATAAATTCAGAAAAATGTAAAACTTTGGGGAATGATTGTAGACATGATAATACACATGCTACAAAAACTGGTTTTCTAAAAAGACTTCCCAAATGAGAAATATCATCATTTTACAAAATAGTCCAAAACATGAAAATGTAAACATATGAATCTTGACATTTTAGCTTAACCATGTTTTGAAACATTACAAAATGATTTTGTAGACTTAATAAAAGATGTATATGATTATTGTTAAGTCTATAAACCAAGAAAACAATATTTTCACAAATACAATAGAAAGTAAAACGTATGAGTATGTATATGAAAATATATTTGTTTCATATCTATGAAATTAAACCAAAACAACTTATCCACATAGAAAACAAGCATGTATACACATTTTTTGGAATTTATTTGTAAAAACTTTGTTTGTGGATAAAACTAAAAACCAAGATGTATATGTATATAACTATATATATATATATACTAAGAAACTAATAAATGTGTGTGTGAATATAATATTGAGCTTAGAGTATATAACACACATAATATAAACTCCTAAACTAAATTACCCAAGCTTGATTGGTCTTCAATAAGCTCTACTTGGTAATCTCGCGGATGAAGCTTGAACTTGGATCTTGAACTTTGAATAGCAAGGCTTCACCGACATTCCGCCAACCTCCTTTGGATATGATCGTTGAAGCTCTAATTCCATCCATCCTCCAACTTGTTGTTTGTCTACAATAAATACGAAAACACAAATACTAGATAAACAACATTAGTGGTAAATTGTTTGTTAAACATCATCAAAACAAGAAGGCCAACAATCTCCCCCTTTTTGATGATGACAAACAATTTACAAAAATGATATATGCATGAAAGGAAATGAATATATAAATTACAATTCACATGCATATAAACAAGAAAGAATATACATATACTCACAATATTTCTCCCCCTTTGACAACATCAAAAAGGGGACAAAAGAATAAGAGAGCGAAAGCTCCCCCTATCAATAAGCATAGGTGAGTACCAAACAATTATAGGGAATGCTCCCCCTATCAAAAAGCCATATAGAATATAGATAAAGAAAGATCATGGCAAATATGTGAGCGAGCATAAATGAAAAGATATGCTAAGCATCACTCACATACAAACAAGATACAATGAGGACACATAATGATATGACATTATAAAGATAGTGTCTCATTATAAAAACCATGTATAAGAATAGATTTATGAAATCAAAAGAAGAGGAACATGAGAAACA